AGACAGGCACAGAGGGAAGACCGTGTGAGGACACAGGAAGACAGCTATCTCAAGCCAAAGAGAAAGGCTTCAGAAGAAACCAGCACTGCTGACACCTTCATCTTGGATTTCCAGCATCCAGATCTATGAGAAAATAAATTTCTATTGTTTAAGTCGTTGTTGTACTTTGTTACAGCAGCCCTAGCAACCTAATATAGTTAATGTAATATAGTTAATGTGGCATGATTACAGGTAAAGATTTTTTTCTTCTTCCAATTTCTTCTTAAAATATTTTAGAGCTGGTTTAACAACAGTGGTTCTAGCATCATGAATTCCCTCTACTGACCTAATTTTCTCTCCCCTTACTCTATAGATGGTTGTTTTTAACACGGCCTCACAAAGGAAAGGGAGTGAGGATGGAAATTTTCAGCTTCACGATGCTGGAAAAAAAAAAAAGCCAATACCATGGTTTTTACTCCACAGCAAACCACCCTAAAGGAGTGGATAACCATGAATTCCAGAAAGCATCAGAACAGCTGTTCCTCCAATGAGAGATAAGAGTTAACCAGCTCATTTTCCGGAGCACCTCGGTCCACGAGGGAGGCTCTGGAATGTCCCTAATGCTGCAGTGCCATTTAAACACCACATCGAGTTAGCTAAGACACCTCAAGATTCTAGCATTCTAACCGAAGAAAAGAGAGGATATTTTAGGACATGGAAAAAGATTCTGATCAGAGCCTCCTGAGGGTGGAAAGAGGGGCGGGAGAGCAGGAATGCTGCCTACTTTTCAGCTCTGCCAGGAACTCTCCATATCCCAGGGTTCAGGGTCCATTAGTATGGTACAGGCCAGACGAGGAAAGGCAGAAACAGGTCACCAATATCCTAGACACAGAGGAGTATAACCAGGAAGATCCAGGAGGAAGCTTGACAGGGGCGGCTCAGTAACATTCTGAAGACAGATGAGAAGGAGGAGAGCAGAGCAAGACTAGCAGGCAGAAAGAAATTGGAGAGAGGGAGACTGGAAGCTGATCATACTTGGAGATTCCACTGTAGACAGGGCTCTCTTCTCTATTTCTCTCCTCTCACCTTTCTCCCAGAGGGAGAGGGCTGAGGGCTGTGTGAGACGTGATCTCGAGGAACACAAATGATGTCCTCAGGGTGGCTCACAATCCTGGGGGTGGGCTTTAGGGCTGCGGTTCCAGTCTTAGGGGCAGCCTAGCAGGAAAAGGTCAAAACTCAGATATGGATCAGAGAATTGACACCAAGGAGTCTTGGGTTTGACTATCTGAAAATGGCAGGAGTCTGGTCACCAGACCTGTGATATAAGAGTAGATCGGGTACTTACAGCAAGTCTGACTGGATGCTGATCACCTGAGCAATCTCACTAACACTGTTTCTTATTGATCTGGCCTACCTAGTGTGTATTAATTAACAGTAGGTGCTCAACAAATGTTTCCTGAATGAAAGAGTGAATTAATTAAAGGACAAATAAAATTTACTTAGTAGCAATAGGCTAGGTTTCACAGCCTGGGATGTGAGTGGAGTAAGGAAACACCACTGTGGCATGTAGATAGACAAAGACAGGGAAAGTTACGTCGTTAATGTGCCCCAAGTGCCATAAAAGCATGTCAAGGCTGCCTGAGTCACCTGTCTGAGCTGAGATGGCAGGTCTAGCTCAGACTCAGTCCTCTGCCTTCTCTCTGGAAAAAAAGGAGAAAGAAACCAGAAACAAATAAATGAGAAAGAGAGGTTTTTCAACACTCATCTCCCCACTTAAGTCCCCACCTTCATTATCCTGGTGGGTACTCAGAAATTCCTTTACTCTTAAGAACCTCAAGAATACTTCCCTAGGAATGCTGAGGGCTTATTGCCAATTGTTTTAAAGGAGCGGGATGTAGTAAACAGCCATATATTATATGACTAAATAGTAGCAATGACCCCTAGCATAATGAAGTCTCAAGATCCTAAATGAGAATAAGAGGAGTCCACATATATCTGATGGAATCAGCCACCTACAAAAGCCTTCTTTAAGAAAGAAATTATTTCAGGGTCCCCAAGACTACCCACACATACACAGTTGTACTCATAGCTAAATTACAGTAAATTTTATTACAGTGAATTTATCAGCAAGAGAAAAAGACAGGTGGACTCTGGAGAAACCTGTGCATGGGCTTCCTCGTGTTCTCTCCCTTCCTGTGAAGGTATACACCCAGCATGCTCCCTTCTACAGCAGCAGACAATGTAGTAACATGTATGTTATGTTTGTACCTAGGGAAGTCCATTAGAGACATAGCATCCAAGGTTTTTATTGATAGACACAGGCACAGTCTGCTTAGCAGCCATCAAAATTCCAGATTCCCAGGAGGAAAGCAGGTAATCATACTGTTTGTTCAGAGTCTAGGCACAATGAACCACCCTTATCAATTAGAAAATGGAGGGAACAGTTCAAGTGTCAAGTTCCCAGATGTAAGCCAAGGACCAACCTTGCAAGCAATCCCTTCTGAAGATGGCAGCCTCAGGCTGGCTCTGTTAACTCTTTTCTAAAGTGATTTGTAAATGTTGCCAATGAAACTGAAATATCTCCCAAACTAAGAAATAGTATTGGGAAGCTGCCAACCTAAAAGCTATATTAATCAGTTGTGAAACTTATCCTAATTTTGACAACTGAAGCAGTTACTATAAGATACAAAGCTAACAATGTTGCAATTACAGAATGTTCTTGTGATTATGGAAGAAGACTGAAGAAGGCCAGTTGAGCTTAAGGTGCATTTCTCAGAGTTACTGAGTGGGAAAGGGTGCCCTGCTAGAGCTGCAGGACTGTCTTCACCCAATTCCCTACAATCTCTTCTCTCTTCTCCAAGTCCAGCAAGCAAACTTCTGATATGCTTTTTAGTCCTCCTACTAAGAATAGAATGTGCTGACTAGCAGGCATGAATTTGATTTGATAAGCCAGCACTGTGGTCCATTAGTCAGGCTCATTCAATGATAACAGTTCTCAATCATTAGGTACTCATGTGTCATTTTATTGATCTTCATAATACTCTTAACAAGTACTGTCCTTGTATTTTGCAGGAGAAAGCAAAGGTTCAGATTGGAGAACTGACCTACCCAGAGTCACACTAACGTAAGCAAATGATACAGGATTTAAATTCAGGCGTTCCTATCTCTAGAACTCATATACTTTCCATTCTTTTGAATTCCTCCTTCAATTAGAAGTCAAGTTGGCATCAATTTCCCAGGACCTCCTCATCCTGCAGGTAAGTGAGAAATCAGACTTAAGAAATAACAAAGCCAAGGACACTATGCCAGAGAGCCTAACAGCATTTCAGCCTCACTCCTCACCAGAGCCACAAAACTACTCTTTTTTTATATATATATATTTTATTTATTTACTTGATAGAGCCAGCGAGCACAGAAGGGGTAGCAACAGAGGGAGAGGGAGAAGCAGGCTCCCCACCGAGCAGGGAGCCCCACGGGGGGCTCGATCCTAGGACCCTGGGATCACGACCCAAACCGAAGGCAGACGCTTAACCATCTGAGCTACCCAGGCGCCCCCATAAAGCTACTCTCAACTGCAGCAGACAGGTCTCCAGTCTCCACCACTTTTCTCCTACTCTTAGACAACAGATCTCTTTCCACCTGCCAGAAACTGTATGAAAAAAGAATCCCATCCTTGGGGCGCCTGGGTGGCACAGTCTATCGAGCACCCGGCTCTTGGTGTCAGCTCCAGGCCGGATCTCAGGGTCGTGAAATCCAGCCCAGAATGGGAGTCCACTTAAGACTCTCTCCTTCCTCTGACCCTCTCCACCGTGCACACACATGGGCGCGCGCGCTCTCAAATAAATAAATCTAAGAAAAAGAAAAGGAAAAGAAAAGAATATCACCCCTTCAGTGCTAACATACTATGATACTATAATTCTCTGCCCACTGACAGTTCATTCCCCCTTCCCTGCCACTGTCCCTTCTTCAAAACACAATGTCTTTTACCCAGTCTAACGCCCCTTCTGGATTCACAGGAAAATAACGCGCGGATTTGCACTTCAGAAAGCACTTTCAGATGTACTATTTCATCTGCCCTTCAGACCAATGTGAAGCGGGCAAGGTAGGTAAGCACCCCCATTTAACGAGAACAGCATGTCTCCAAGGTCACGGAATAAAAAGCAGAGGAAGTCGGGAGCAGAGCCCCAGGTTTTGACTCTGGTCCTCTGCTCTTCCCGCTGCTTCTCCCTGCCTGCTGCCCCCGCCCTCGGCTCAAACCCAGGCCTGTAGCTCACGTCTCTCCCACGCCACCCACCCGCAAAGTCCCCACCTGCCCGGTCCACTCCTCGCCCAAACCACCCCCATGACCCCCCTCTCTTCACCAGCGCCCTCCGCCCATGGGCCTCCTCACCCCGCCAGCTCCCTCCGCTCATGTACCCCCTCCTGTCACAGGCAGCTCGAAAGCCCCGCTCGGCCTCCCACAGACCCTCGCCCCGCCTACCGCTTCGCCACCCCATACCCCTTCTCCTGTCAGCCCGCGGCCCGAGCGGCCAAGGCTACCTTCTCCAAAGATGCCGGTCTCTGCACGGCCAGGGAGCGGGCCAATGACAAGACCGTGTTGAAATAGAAACCCCGCGAGGCGCTGGAGCCGGAGCCGCCGCCGCCGCTACCGCCGCCGCTGCCGCCTCCGCCTCCCCGGGCCGCGGCCGCCGCCATCATCGCGCGCGCGGCGGCGCTGCCCGCGGGCTTCCCGCACCCGGCCTGCGAGCGCCAGAGCTCACGGCGCAGGCGCGGCGGCATCCGGCTTCCCCGCCACGTGACCTCTGTTGTCGACACTGGGTGGGGCGTGGCCGCGGGGCGATTCCACCGCTGGAGGGGAGAGAGAAACTGAGCGGCAGGCTGCGGTCGCGCGCACCGGGCGTGGCGCCCCCCCAGGCCTCGGGATAAGATGGTCAGCTCCGGAGGCGGGGCCTCCCGCGCGAGACAGGCGGAAGGAGTTTGCTCCGCGACTTGGAGGTGGAGGGGAGTAGTGCGGCGCTGTAGATCGGTGGGCTCTTCCCGAGGGCCTCGGGAGGTCGGCTTGGATCCCTGCGGGCCCGGAAAGGCCGTTCCTCGCCTTGGCCACGTTCCTCCTTCTCCTGTCCAGACCCAGACGAGCGCCGGCACCATGTCGGCCTACCCCAAAAGCTACAACCCATTCGACGACGATGCGGAGGATGAGGGTGCCCGGCCAGCCGTGTGGAAGGACGACCGCGACCTCCCAGATGGACCCGGAGCCCCGGTGGATAGGCAGCAGTACCTGCGGCAGGAGGTGATGCGCAGGGCCCAGGCCGCGGCCGCCAGCACCGACAGGTCCCTTTCCCTTGTATACGAGTCCGAGAGGGTCGGCGTCGCCTCTGCCGAGGTGAGTCTGGAGCAGGGCAGGACGGCCCAACTAGGCTGAATTGTCACACGAGGTCAAGAAACGTTAGCTATACAAAGAGATGTGTGTCTTGAGTACTTGAAAGAGGCAGTTTGCCCCCTGTAATATTCCTTAGCTATTAGTAGAGCTCGGGTTAGGGAAATGGAGTGTCTGTTTCTTATAATTACGTGCTCAGAATCCCAGATCCAGAGCTTTAACCATCCCTCCCCGAGTGACCCAGAATGGATGAGGATTGTGCCTGATGGTGTGTGAAGCATCAGAGCAAATGGGCCTTGAATTTTTTCCTATATCTGACCACTTCACCTCACCGGTAGAGGTGATGAGGTCTGTCTGGGCAGCTGCTGAGTAAGCCATAGCCCAAGTTTGGTCAAGTCTAGGGCCTAACTTTTACTTCCCAAATCCAAATGAAGATGTCCTAGATAGCATATGGTTTGTGACAGTCCATTTCTCTGACTCCCTCTTGTCACTTCGTCTCTCCACCCATGGGAGATTTCAGGGACCCTATGTGAGGATTGTTCTTTCTTAGGCACCACATTTCTTCCTCAGCCTACTAATGAAATGGTTTTGTTTGGGCATTTTTTTTTTTAAGTTTTAAAAAATATAGTAGTAGATCATTGGTATATCAGCTAACAGTTCAAAGCATTTGTAGCTTTGAAACTTAGTACTGGAAGCTGAAGTGTTGTCTTCCTCCATGGGTCTCTTTGTAACTCTTTTCTCTGGCAGAGTTCATTCTGACCTGATCACTTACAATCTTGGGCAGTTTGAGGTATGTTGATTAATTTCTCAAATAGTCATCTGGGTCATATCCCCATTGCCGCTTTCCTGGTTATTTTCCTTCCCCACTTCCGTTTCCTTCCCCACTGTTACAGTACAGTATCCCTCATTGGCCTATTTTCCTATCTTTGGCTTCCTTAAGGAAGTTTAGCTGTAATTCTCACATCTTATATCTACTGGATTCCTATGTTTGAGTCTAAAATGGCAAATGTTGACTAAGATTTGGGAGGATTGCCTAAGGTCTTAGGGCCCTAGTGGAGGAGTTACTTGAGGGTCCCAGGTCCAAGGAAGCCAAGTAAGAACTGTTTGAAGGGACATCTCTGGAAACAGTGAGAACAAATGAAATAGGAAATCAGAATGATACAAAGTAGGATGTCATGGCAGAGGAGAAACTCGAATCTGGTTTTTAAGGCTAAGATTTAGACAGGAGTGAGGAGGAGGGAGAGGAAGAAGGGTAGGAGGAATATTCATAGGGCAGAGAGGAACGGTGCAAAGACACTGGCCCACTACAGGGTTCCTGGGCTCCAGTAGGGAAGTGATACACAGGATATGTTCAAAGAAAAGGCCCAGAGGAGGCAGCTTAGGAGCCTTTTGTGGGCAGGGGAAAGTCTGTCCTTCAGAGGGAAGGAGACTCAAAAACATATTAGAGGTGAGTGGTTTCACATGGATTGTGGTGACACCCCCCATGCTGCCCCCAAATGTCCTCCTCTCTATGCAAGGGGGACAGTGAGAACAGAGGCAGAGTGGTACCTCAGGCCTGTGAGGCTTGGACTGGGCCAAGTTGGTGTTCTGAGAGGTGCAGTATGATCATGACTGGGCAGGTGACAGGCACTGTCATCATCGGTGTGGTGACACTGAATTTTTCCAGGATTGAGTCAGTTCCCAGTCATCAGAGGCCCTGGGAGGCCGGAATGGTCAGCACCCCCTCCCCACCCACTCTGTACTCTCCAAACTGCCTTCGAATCAGTCTTTGATTCCAGTCAGAATGGGGATGGGAATGGGGCTGAGGTTGGGGCTGGTGAGCTCTTCCTGCCACTCAGTGTACAGTGTGGTTTTCAGCAGACCCAAGTCACCTGCTAACCTCTCTACTTAGAGACCCAGCGCTGAGCTGTGCGAAAACATGATAGGTTTTTATAGAGGGTTAGGAATGTACAGATATTAGTTTGGGAAGATACCATTCAGTTCCAGCTTGGCAGAAGTAGGAAAATTACTTAGGTCATCCTAAGTGAAGGAGAGTCGTCGTCCTCCTGTGAAACCTGACAAGATTTATTTCTCACAAAGAATATAGCCACAGGTCATGACTGCCAAGGGACAGAACTAGAGCACAGCAGTTCGTAGTTAACTGGCCTGGTAAGCACAGTCCAGAACCGTGGAGAGACTTGTAGGCCACTCAGCTCTTCTGTTTTGCAAGCGTGATTTATTTATCCTTCCTTTTACCTAAGGTTTAGCTTTTGTGAAGCGATATGCAATCACATAGTTCAAAATTTAAAACGTACAGAAGAGTAGGAAGTTTCCTCCCACCCCTCTGCTCCCACGGCAGCCAGTTACCGTCAGTTCCTTCAAAGTCCTTGTGAAGATATTCTGTGGATAGAGACGTAGCTATAGTCCTTTCCTTTTTCTTTCAATTTTAACTTAAGTGGATGCATTCTATATATTCTAGTCTGTACATTTTTTAATAGGATTGAAGGTTATTCCCTGGTAATATATAATGCACTGATCTTTTTGTTATTGTTGTTTTTAAGGCTGTGTCGTATTCCACTGAATGGATGACTTGTATTTATGTAGCCAGTCCTCTAATGATAGGCATTTGGGTTGTTTGCACGTTTGGGCAAGCCTGTGGAGACATGGGTGCCCAGAGTTCCTTGTCCCCTCTGGCAGCTGAGCATGCTCCCGTACAGTTTTGTGAAGCCTGGGATCTCATTTCAGGGGAGTCCAGCAATAAATGTTAGACCAGGGCCTGAATGGCTGGCACAGTAACGTCAATGGGACGGGAGTGGTGTTTGATAGGCCATCACACAACCACGTAGGCATGGCTGACCACCTGCCCGACTGGCAGACCTTACTGTTTAACCCCTTCAGAGGTCAAGCATGTGGCTGAAGGCCCCCACGTAAATCACACTATGAGCATAAACTATCTGGCCTAGCCTAAGGACTCAGGTAAACAAAGATACTCTTACCAGGGTAATATAAGGGCCAGGAGCCAGGCAAGGCCTTTCTTTGGAACATAGAGGGTGTGGACAGCCCAGGCCTGCTGAGTTAGTCCTTAGTGAGCCTGGGTCAGCCTGCACACAGGCAGTAAAGAGCACCAGCATCACTGCCTTTGCCCTTGGTGGTTTTTCATGCAACCTAAGACTCCGTTTGTGTTTTTGAATCCACTCCATACTACTACAGTGAGACAGAGCCCCAGTTTGAGCATATTCCATGCTCATGTGTCCCTGCCGGCGCTTAGGCATGTGTGTTGCACTGGAAAGGGAGTGACATGAAGGAGATGAACTTCAGGTTTTTAGGTTCAGCTTATTGACTCCAGATTGACCTCCACCTACTTATTATTGGATCTCTGAGTTTAATTATGAGTTCAGTACAGGAACCTTAGCACTGACATTTTCCTTCCGAATCTCGGGGCCTGACTCGGTCAGGGAAGACAACCAGGCCCAACTGACCTTACGAGATGTATCAGCTGTGAATTGGAGTTGGGATCTGGTGGTCACTGCTGCCCTCTCTGATGCCTGCTGGGTCCTGCTTGGCATCCTGCCTGCTCCCTCATCTCATGCTCACGTTCCTCTTCCTCTCTCAGTTCCCCCAGCTGGCCCCGCGGCCCAGGACTGCTGCGCACATGGGCTGCTCCCTCTGCCCTGATTCTCTTACCCCACCCCCCATCCTTTGCCTACGTAACTTCTCAGCTTTCAGTTTCCCCTTCAACGCCACCCCATCGGGGAGCCTCCCTGACTCCCCCTTAAGCCAGGCAAGGAGCCCCTACTGGCAGAGTGGCCATCATGTATGTGTAGGATAGCTTTCTTGTCTTCCTCCCCAACTCTGGATTCCCAGCACCACAGGGTTGTCAACAAATGAAAAGTGAAATGAAACTTGACTCACTGAGCCCTCCACCAAGACTGTAAGCTCTGGCAGGGCAGAGATCTGGGGCTGGTTAGTTCACCCCCGAATCCCTAGTACCTGGAACAGTGGCTGGCAGAGTAATACCTGTTGGTGGGTATCTTGCACACCTCTGTCCTTCTGTGCATGTTTTCTATCAGCAGGGAGTCCCTGATGTGTTCACATTCTCACAGGGCCCTGGGACATAATCCATCTGGCCAGAAGTCGCTCCATGGAGGACAGAGTATACCCTCACAGGGTCTTCAGCTGTCTTTTGCATTCTCTCTCTCTCTTTTTTTTTTTTTTTTGAAGATCTTATTTATTTATTTGACAGAGAGAGACAGTGAGAAAGGGAACACAAGCAGGGGGAGTGGGAGAGGGAGAAGCAGGCTTCCTGCGGAGCAGGGAGCCCGATGTGGGGCTCGATCCCAGGACCCTGGGATCATGACTTGAGCCGAAGGCAGACGCTCAACGACTGAGCCACCCAGGCGCCCCCCGTCTTTTGCATTCTCTTGCTTTATCAGGAATCCTTGTTTTTTTTTTTTTAAGATTTTGTTTTATTATTTATTTGAGAGAGAGAATGAGATAGAGAGAGAGCACGAGAGGGAAGAGGGTCAGAGGGAGAAGCAGACTCCCCACGGAGCAGGGAGCCCGATGCGGGACTCGATCCCAGGACTCCAGGATCATGACCTGAGCCGAAGGCAGTTGCTTAACCAACTGAGCCACCCAGGCGCCCAGGAATCCTTGTTTGACAAAGAGCCACAAACCAAAGGGGAATTGAGACACCCCCTCTCTCTGTGCTGTTCCTCAGCATAGTACCACTGGCCCAACCGGATTTTTTTCTCTGACCATTTCCTTTTTTCCTGTTTAACTTCAGAAAACTCCTTTTAGCGCTTAAGGTGGGGGAGGGGGTGGATCACCTGTAATACTAACATCTGAGCTTTGCATGTGTGCCCTTTACACTGAGGGTACTCTCTGGAGCTCCCTCCCCTCATAGCCGCCCTTGTTTCTCCATGATCTCCATTCTCCCAGGGACCAATGATATGCATGGCCTCCCTTTTGGGGGACAGGAAGATGCCTGGGGACTGGAGTATTTGAGGCCTGCCTTTGTAATGGCTGGTGCAGGGTCTGCCTAGCTTGTCCTTCCCACCCTGGCACTCCTGGTATTTGCTCTGGCAAGCCCTTCTTCCTCATTAGTTAGAACCAAGCACTTGGAGCCTGGTGCTTTCTGCCTCATGGGATGGATTTCAGCAGAAGTTCCTCCTCTGCTGGCCTCCTGACCAGATCACCTCCAGTGAACACCAGCTTCCAGCTCACAGAAACTTCCAGAGACCAGAACAGTGCTCACTTCCATGGCCTGCCACCCTCACAGATTTCTCTTCACTTTGATTGTAACATCTAAGTCAGACGTTTGGTTTCCTTACCAAGTCAGCGCAGTGTTGCACACTCGGAGTTTGAGAGACTGTGTCACTTGTGAACAGAAGAAAATAAGATCTCACTGTGAATTGGGGAAGGTTTTGTCAGCTACTTGTTACTGCTGCTACTCTCCAAATTGAGGTCGGGAGGCCAAAGCAAGAGGGCAGGTGGTTGGTGAGATGAGCCACCACGAGAGACTTCACTGTCAGGGAGGCCGAGGACCTGGCTCCTGGTGTGACAGAGCCCTGGCCAGCACCCACCCAGGCAGCCAGGCACCTCTCCTGCTTCATATTCTTCATCTTCTGCAGCAGGGGAAATAAGGTGGTGAGACTGGACTGTTGGCAATATATCAACTCAAAAAACACGTAAATGCTGGAGAAAATCATTTTAACCCTAATTTAGAGCCTTGCCTTATTCCAGGAAAGACTTACCTCAGAACATGAAGATGACAAACCTGAGGTGTTGGAAAAAGGAGAAAACTCTAGATAAATTAGCAACTGTTTTTTTTTTCTTCTGAAACTGAGTTTTGACACAGTCCAGGCATTTGCAAGAATGACACAGTCCGGAAAAGATTTTTCCTTTTGTTTAAAAGAACCTGATGGTTTCTTCAGACGTGTCTCATGAGCTGGTAAAAAACATTTAAACGTTCAAAGCTGTAAAGCTCAGCAATTCTAAGTTTATTTCCAAAGATTTTTTTGTTTTCTGCCTATACATTATATTTTAAAATTTCATCTACTATAAACATTGAGAGCTCAGATTACTTTTTGGGTCCCTAAATGTTCTAAAAGCTTTCTACTAACATTTTTATAAGTAAAACGTGCTCTAATAAACCCATTATGTATATTTTCCTTTTTATCCTTCAATTGTCGGAGGCGTTTATTCAAAAATTGTTCATGATTCTGTTTTAAGGTATTAAGAGAGAAATCTCTAAAGATTATCTGCCACAGGTAATATAACTGCTGAGCCACAGACAGATGCAGGATTGAAAGATTCAAAAGGTGGTGGAGGTCAGGGACTGCCTCACAAAATAAAAGAGGAAAAGCTTGAGAGTCTCTGGGCTGGAAAGGTGGATCACAGAGAAGGAACACAGCTGGAATGGCCTGAGATAGGGGCAAAACAAGTTTGGCATGAAGAAAGGAAGGTGTCAGTGTTACTGTGGTGGCGAGTTCACATCCACTGCTGGAAACATCAGCTCTTTTTTTTTTCTTTTTAAGTTTTATTTATTTGAGAGAGAGAACATGAACAGGGGGAGGAGCAGAGGGAGAAGCAGGCTCCCCGCTGAGCAGGGAGCCCGACATGGGGCTTGATCCCGGGACTCTGGGATCATGACCTGAGCCGAAGGCAGCCGCCCAACTGACTGAGCCACCTAGGCACCCCCAGAACCATTGGCTCTTGAGGAATATGATCTAGGCTGTCCCTGTGGCCACAGAGCATCATCCACTTGTCCTTTGGCAGTCCAGCAAGCCACTGCTCTGAGTGAGACACTGGGGACCCAGTGAACAAAGCGGGTCCCTGCCTCATGGAGCTTGCATGCTCTAAAAACTAAAGTAGATTGGGGGTGTAGAGGGGTACGTTGAAGGTAGAAAAAGTTCTACTTTAGAGAAGGTGTTCAGGGAAGACTTCTTTGAGGAAGTAACCTCTGAGCAGAGACCTGAATTCAATGAGGAGCAGAGCTGTACAGGTATCTGGATGAGGATCATCACAGGCAGAGAGTAGCATGTACAAAGGTCTGGGGCGGAATCACCTTTGTTAGAGGTTTTAAAGGTGAAACTGTGGGTGAGTTGGAATCAGATATTAACAGGGCCCAGAAAGGACCCAGCACCTAGCCTGTGAAATAATTTGAAGGCGTGACCAGGGCCAGATGGCTCCGGTGACCCAATGGAAATCCCATGTCTGGAAAGGGGGGAGTACCAGGTCAAAGCCTGTAAGGTTCACGGGGACCAGGAAAGGGGGAGGGCTAAAGGATGTGCCGCCAGTCCAGGCCCGTCCATCTTAACATGGTCCTGTGAGCCAGCCTCACGTGGGCAGGAGGGAAAAGAACTCAGGAGCAAATACGAAAGAAAGCCAATAGAAGCCGGACAGGGAAGGGCAAAGGAATGTGTTGTCAGAAGGGGTAATGTTCCCTCACAGATGGCAGCATCTGTCCCCATCCATGCTCTCTGAGGGCTCGGGACAAACCTGCTGTGTGTGGTCCCCTGCAGAGGGGAAAATTACAAAACGGTGTAATGCCATCACCTCTCATTTTCCCTAGGAGCTTGAGCGTCAGCGAGGTGTCTTAGAACGCACAGAGAAGATGGTGGACAAGATGGATCAAGATTTGAAGACAAGCCAGAAGCACATTAACAGCATTAAGAGCATGTTTGGGGGATTCGTCAATTACTTCAAATCCAAACCAGCAGAGACGCCACCGGAACAGAATGGCACCCTCACCTCCCAGGCCAATAGCAGGTGAGTGGATCTTCAGCCATCCAGATATGAAGTAGCTGAAAGTGGGGGTTAGTGCAAATGGTCAAGACTTTCGGGGCACCTGGGTGGCTCAGTCAAGTGTCTGCCTTCAGCTCAGGTCACGATCCCAGGGTCCTGGGATCGAGCCTCCTGGGATCGATCCCCGCATTGGGCTCTGTACTCCACGGGAGGCTGCTTCTCCCTCTCCCACTCCCCCTTGCTTGTGTTCCCTCTCTCGCTGTGTCTCTCTGTCAAATAAATAAATAAAATCTTAAAAAAAAAATGGTCAAGACTTTCAAGCCACTTTTAGTGCCTTAAAGGGACCCAAGATCTTTGGAAGTTACTCATTGGAAGGGATTCATTCTCACACATTTTGAAATAAGAAACATTTCTCCAGCGCTCCTGATGATGTTCATTTGATTGACATCCAGTCTGCATAAATTGGGTCTCCAATAAATTAAATTACTGCTCCAGTAATTGTAATTTGAAAGAATACTCACCTCAGAAAGCTTAAACAGTATAAATGTGCCTCACTTCACAGAATTTTAAAAATTCTTTAAAACGTCTTTATAACCAGGGCACCTGGGTGGCTCAGTTGGTTAAGCATCTGCCTTTGGCTCAGGTCAGGGTCCTGGGATCGAGTCCCACATCAGGCTCATGCTCGGCAGGGAGCCTGCTTCTCCCTCTCCCTCTGCCACTCCCCCTGCTTGTGCTCTCTCATTCATGCTCTCTCTCTCTCAAATAAATAAAAATCTTTTTTAAAAAGTCTTTATATCCAACATTTCCATATCTAATTCCATCTGGCCCTTAACTTTAATTTTAAAATTAGCGATTATTTTACTCAAAAGTTGCAGTCAGATAATAATATATGTAATTTGAGCGGGTATTTAAATATCCCGTGTACAAAGAGTCAAGTTTCTGCTAAAATAGATTACTATTCATATCTCAGTCCGTTGTGTTTATTTTTTATTGTAAAAATAATATAGTATTATAGAACATCTACACCTTACCATAGCACAAAAACTCAAAACTTAGTTCCCCCCCCCTTAGTGTTTTCAAAACTGCAGTCCAGTGTTCATTTAGTTTTATAGCCTACTTCCATTTAACTCAGAGAAATGTCTGATATAATGTTATTATGCAGGTCTCTCTGTTTACCTTTTAAATCTGGAATACAGAGCGATTTTTTTTTTTTTTAAGATTTTACTTATTTATTTGACAGAGACACAGCGAGAGAGGGAAAAGAAGCAGGGCGAGCGGGAGAGGAAGAAGCAGTCTCCCCGCTGAGCAGGGAGCCCAATGCGGGCCTCGATCCCAGGACCCTGGGACCATGACCTGAGCCGAAGGCAGATGCTTAATGACTGAGCCACCCAGGCGCCCCTAGAATATAGAACGATTTTTTTTTTTTTAAGATTTTATTGATTTATTTGACAGACACAGAGAGGGAACACAAGCAGGGGGAGTGGGAGAGGGAGAAGCAGGCTTCCCGCTGAGCAGGGAGCCCGATGCGGGGCTCGATCCCAGGACCCTGGGATCATGACCTGAGCCGAAGGCAGACGCTTAACAACTGAGCCACCCAGGCACCCCTGGAATACAGAACGATTTTTTAAGAGGAATTTTTTTAAGCACAAGCGCACACATCTTAAGTGTGTGTTGACGCTTTCACTAAACGGATGATTGCTTACCTGTGTATACACCTGTGTGGCCATCACCTAGATTAGGACATAGGGTGTGGGAGGGAAGAAATTGGGAAACTGTTTCCGCCTCACAGTGGCTCTGGGGAGAAACAAAGTACAGGTGAAGGAACTGAGAATGTAGCAGAAAGACCAGGCAGGTGAATCGTTGGGATTTAGGGAGAGAAAACTACAGAAGGGGAAAAAGCAGTGGGTTGGCCCAGAGGCTATTGCCTGTGGGTACGCTACCTGAGGTCATGAGGGTTGGTTGGTTTTGTGGCTCAGTCCTAATCACCGTCCATCCCTGATTTTCCAGCTTGACCCTGATTTCAAATACCTGTCACTTTTCTCCCCCAATTGGGGTAGTTTCTGAGGTTGTTTATTTAGTTGGGTTTTTTGGATTTTATGTTTTTTTGGTTTGGTTTGCAGTTTACAAATCAGAAGCATATTTTGTGTCCTCCTTTTTGGGTTTATGTGTTATCATAGGAAGTTTAGATGTCCATTCGCTTTGGACTAAGACATCAACGTGGTTAAATCTATGATGTAATGTAATTGCTTCCATAAAATGAGTAAATCTTTGTAATCCTGTCAAAAGCCCTACTCCATAAATACAGGGATATTCTGATATAAAAGCTTTTAAAATAAGTTCCTCCTATTCAAACTTCTGTCAAGTCATATGTATTCTGTGTATATCCTTGTTGCACAAATGCTTCGGCCTTCTCTGAAGTTTTGTTTGTTTCTTAGTAAGCCATTTTTGGTCTTGCTGACAAAGCTTCATAAGCTGCTGCTTCCCATTTCCATTTAAAGCTCATGGAGAGGGGCGCCTGGGTGACTCAGTTGGTTAAGCGTCTGCCTTCGGCTCAGGTCGTGATCCCAGGGTCCTGGGATCGAGTCCCGCATCGGGCTCCCTGCTCCGCGGAGAGCCTGCTTCTCCCTCTGCCTCTGCCTATGTCTTTCTCTGTCTCTCATGAATAACTAAATGATAAATAAAATAAACAAAGCTCCTGGAGAGGTCCCTTCAGATCATAGATTTAACCACTCCCTAAATTTGAAACTCTCTGACTTATTCAAGACTTGGTTGCTGACCAAGAGCCACCAACTCTTCTTACAGTTCTCTTAACCATTCGTCACTCTCCCTAGAGTTGGCTTTTTTGCCCTTTTTCACAAAGAAGCCAAGTTTTTGTTGTTTAAGTGTTACTACTCTATACATGTGAGCACAAAGGAAAAAAGTCAGCTTTGGGGTATGTAGCGTGGGTAAAGGGCAGGTGGGCTCAGCTGCAAGCATCTGCTGCTTACACTGGCCTGGCAACACATAGGGCTCACGACTGTGCTCAGAAAAACCAGCTGTGTGTTCTCGACCTCCAGTCACTGCTTCTAAGTAATGAAATCCTCAGATTTCAGGAGGCTCTGCTCTGTTCTATACATTGCTGGAGCACTGGGGGCCTATGGGGGCCTACAGTGCCTTAGCCTGATGGGGTCCAGGCTTGTGCCAGTGGGGAGCTGTTAAAGACTTCAACCAGGGAGGCCTGGATGGCTCAGTTGGTTGAGCATCTGCCTCCGGCTCCGGTCACGATCCTGGGGTCCTGGGTTTGGGCTGTGTCGGCCTCCGTGCTCAGCAGGGGGGTCTGCTTCTCCCTCTACCTCTCCCCCAGCTTGTGCTCTCTCTTGATCTCTCTCTCAAATAAATAATAAATAAAAATCTTAAAAAAAAAAAAAAAAAAAAGACTTTAACCAGAGTGGGGTGTCTGGGTGGCTCAGTCAGTTCAGCATATGACTCTTGGTTTCGGCTCAGGTCATGGGATATGGCATGGAACCCCACATCAGGCTCTGCTCTCAGCAGGGAGTCTCCTTGAAGATTCTCTCCCTCTGCCCCTCACCCCGCTTGCACTCGCGCACATGCGCATTCTCTCTCTCTTTCTCTAAAATAAATAAATCTTTCAAAAAATCAAAAAACAAATAAGGACTTTAATGGGAGAGGTTCATACAGGGTATGTTAGAAAGATGCCCGGCATCTTTGGGTAAGGATTGGAAAGGGGGGCGCTTATTCAGGTAAGGATAAAGACGCAAGGCAGAAGGAGGGGCCGGATTTTGGGGATCTGTGGGGGGATTGAGGGGATGTTTGCATGGCTTGCTGGGAGTGGAGCTGTACAGAGAGAGGGCATACATGGAGAATGATTGGTGTCCAGCTTGGCCAATGAAGTGGCCAGGGCACCAGTCAGCAGGGTGGAGAAGAGCAGACTGTGCGGGAGGCCCAGCTTCTGGGGCGGGGGAGCCTCTGCCATACCCGCAGGGGTGTGTGGAGTGTTAGGCATAGTCCGAGGATCTCCTGAGTTACCTTGTGAAGTCCCTGTCTGTAGCAGGAGTGGGCAGACTAAGCTTTGTGGGCTAGGAAGCAAAATCAGAGATATTTTATAGGGACTTACGTAACAAGAAAATAACAAATTTTTAATGACGGCATTAAAAAAACGAAAAGAGGAATAATTGAGTACAATTTTTTGTAACATAGGTCTACTAATGAGAAGAAAGAAATTATTAATGGAGGTTCAAAGTTAGTGCTCTCTATCATCCAGTCCATTGCCAGTGGTCATCTGTAAAGGCAGTTCTCTGCTTGTGGTCGTACAAAATCAGGTGGTGGGCCAGATTTGGCCCAGGGGTCACGGTTTGCTGATTAGTCTGAAGTACCCATTTGGTCCTTTCATGTGCTTCTCTTCCCCCTGGTCCTGGGATTCTCGTTTTCCTGAAGGAGGGCCACCTAACCAGATGCTGCTCTTCTAAAGCAGGCGTCTCAGAGGTTCGCTGTGCTGTGGGCGATACTCCCAGGAGCTGTTGATGAATATCCCTGCTTTGGTCAGAGGAGGCATTTGCTTTTTGCACACAGGCACTGCTTGAAAAGACTGCATTGTCATAGGTATTTTCTCTTTCTGAATGTTCTCTTTTCTTAACTTTTATCCCAAGATTGAAAGAAGCCATAAGTACCAGTAAAGCACAGGAGACACGGTACCAGGCCAGCCACCCAAACCTCAGGAAGCTGAATGACTCAGGTCAGTGGGGACCTGTGCTCGGCCACACTTGGATTCCAGTATTGGCCCTGGGGTGGATGGGGGGCAGCGGGAACTCCAGCTACTGTCGTGGGTAAAAGGTGTCGGACCCAGTGCCACTCCCAGAGAGCTGGAAGTGTGTGTGGTATGGCATGCTCATCCCTCACCCCGTGGAGGATGAAATATGGAAGTGGGGGCCTGTGTCCCATTGAAAATGAGCCTGCCCACCATTAGTTCCTGCCCCATGTAGCTCTGAACTCTTCCAGCAGTGAAAAGACAACTGCAGGAAAACCTCTGTGGTAAGGGGTAGAGCCTCCCCAAAATGACCTGTCATCCCCAGACCCAATGAATATATTGGGTTCTGTGGCAAAAGGGGAATTACGGTTGCTAATCAGCTGACCTTGAGATGGGGAAATTATCCTGAGTTAACCAGCTGGGCCCAGTGTAATCACAAAGGCCCCTTTATAAGTGGAAAGGGAGGCAGAGGAGAGATGATCAAAAATTGGAAGATGCTCCGCTGCTGGCTTGAAAAATGCAGGCAGGGACCACCTGCTGAGGAACGCAGGCAACCTCTAGAAGCTGGAAAAGGCTAGGAATCAGATTCTCCCCCAAAAGCTGAAGGGAAGAGCACAGCCCTGTTGACACCTTGACTGTAGCCCGGTGTGACCCGTCCTGGATTTCTAAGCCCCGGAACAGAAGGATAAGTCTGTGGTAGTTGCTGCACAGCAGTGGGAGACTCATGTAGCCCCGAAGCCCGAGGGGGCAGAGAAGAAGCTGCGTGAACAAAATGTGCAAGGTCGATTGTGGTGTCCTGTCATCCTCTTGTTATCAAACAATAGGCCCAGAAACACCCCTTATCTGGAAGGGAATTTCGGCCTCCTGGGAGTCCCCGCAGAGACCCCTGGAAGGCCAGGCACATTGGACGGTGCCAGGAACCGAATGCTTCCTGGGCTCCCTTTGAGGAAAGCAGGATGCACCCTGGACGCTCCAGAACCCACCACTCTCCTGGTTGACACAGCTAAGGAGAGGCCTGATGGAGGAAGAGCCAGGGTCAGGAAAGATGGAGATCACCACAGTTTAGTCTGGAAGGGCGAAAGCCATGGGAGGAAATGAGAGAAAACTAAAATATGCAAGGCTCACAGAAAGTCCAAGCCCAGCATAGCCCGAAGAAGTAGAGTAGGAGGCCTGCACCCAAAAGTCACGATTTCAAGGAATTAAAGGGAGTTTTAATTTGCACGGTGTGTAGTAACTGAAGAGCCTTAAAAAAATAAGATAAAAAAGACGACACCGTGTGTGTGGAATGGCTTCAGTAGGTTGTGGCCGGAGGAAATACACCAAGTCTGGAAAGAAAAGTTCCCCCAAAAGATAGAAACTGGGATGATAGGGCTTTTCTGTGTGCATTTAGAAACTGCAGTTCAAGGAAGATTCGGGGTGAATGTGCATTATTTAGCATTTCTTCTTTCCTTGCTTGTTGTATTTGAAGCAGAAAGAGAGCACAGAAATACATTTCTAGAAGTAGAGAAAGTCATCCATGATCCTATTTCCATAACATAGCTATTTTGATTTTGATTTCTGATTTTTTTATAACCAATAAAAATTCACTTATTAGCTTCTGTCACTTGAAGCCTTTTTAGGGAAGATTTAGGTTCTTTCACTTTGAAAGAACTGAAGTGTACGTTTAAAAAAATGAATAAATAAGATGTATGCACTTCTATTTTAACATCAATGATCATTTAAAGTTTTTTGCTTTCTACAAAAAGATAATTATCATATGATCTCACCGATATGTGGAATTTAAGAAACACAGCAGAGGATCATAGGGAAAGAGAGGGAAAAAATGAAACAAGACAAAACCAGAGAGGGAGACAAACCATAAGAGACTCTTAATCACAGGAAACAAACTGAGGGTTGCTGGAGGGGAGGGGGGATGGGGGGATGGGTTAACTGGGTGATAAGACACTGGGGTGGGTATGTGTTGTAATGAGCACTGGGTGTTATAAGACTGATGAATCACAGGCCTGGACCCCTGAAAGCAATAATACATTATATGTTAATTAATTGAATTTAAATTAAAAACATATATAGTTTGGAAAAACAAACAAACCTCACATCCTGCTTGGGTTTTGTTTTGAAACATGAATAGCAATTTCAGACCCCATCGCTGGAGGGGCTGGTCCTGCCGTGAGTACCGAGGCTTACCCGAAGAACCCACACCTTCGAGCCTATCACCAGAAGATCGATAATAATCTAGGTAAGCCTGAAGCTCCACAAGCCTCCACAGGTCACTTATTCAGGTCGCTTGTGTTCCCGACAACCCGTGCCGGGCCCAGCCAGCCTACCAGTAGCCCGCAGTTTCTTGGGACCACACCATGGTGTCTGCCTCGCCCTCCCCACATGTCAAATCCAGTATGGTCACGGCCACTTCACCCTTCTCTCTCTCTCTCAAGTCTGTCCACTCCTGTCCATCCCCACCTCTTATCTGGGCTGTGACAGCAGCAGGGACCGGGAGTCCCCGAGGGGCCGCACAGTGCAGCAGTGAGAGCCCCATCGTCATCTCTCTGTGAATGGGGCACAGGAACAGAACCCACCCCTGAGAATGGGGGAGAGGGTTAGATGAGCAACCCCATACATCCCATGGGGAACCACCCGACCTGGTAAGAGCGGGCCACTCACGTGGCCACTGCAGCAGACACGGGCCGCACAGCCGGGTTCTTTGTATTCCAGGTCCCTTGCTGGGCCTCTGGCCCTGCCTGCCTCTCCACCCCTCCTGCCCTCGTCATTTGTGGCTCCAAGTGCTTTTCCGCCCCTGCCCGCCTCTGCCCGGAGTGTCCTTCCTCCGCGCTGTTTGAAGGTTGGCTCCTTCTGCTGCGGGCCTGGCTTTAACGCGCTGCACCCTGTTGGAGTCACGTACCTGCTGGCTTATCTGGTGTCTTCTAACCACACTGTAAATTCCAGGGAGCACAGGACTATTTCAGTTTTGTCACCACTGTACCCTTTTGAACGGAGGGAGAGAAGCTAGTTACTTGAAGTTCAAGTGGGGTGGTGTGTGTGGGCTGTAGGAGCAGGCATGGAGCGGTTTCCATGAGTTCGTTCTAGGTGGCATCTCGGATGTGCTGCCTCTTCTGACCTTCACCCTGCGAGCAGGAACCTCCCCCACGGTTCCCTGGGTCGCTATCAGTCTCCCACCCCTGTTGGGAGATGGCAAAGTGGGTGAGACCCAAGTAAAATCTCCCCCTGCTCTAAAGGTATCTAGTTGGAGACAAAACTGAGGCCCATGATGATGCACGTTGAGCGTCTATGCTCAGACTTCCTCCTCCTGTCTTCCCGCAGGAAGGACACTGAGGGCCCCTCCCCTGGTTCACCCAGAGCAGTGGCCATTCCAGCAGCCTGGAGCGAACAGCCCGTTAGGCGAATCCACACTCTTTCTTTTTAACAACATGTAGCCTTTGTGTCTGAGTATTTAGATTCATCGTAGAAAATTATGAAGTTAGGTAAATGCCATGAGGAAAGAAACACCTGGAATCCTATTGTCCAGTAGTAGCCACTGATTTGGTGTCATTCCTTTTGTTTTTCACATACATATGTATACACGTGGATGTACAATGTCAGATGTATGATATCATTCAGTATGTACCACTTCCATATCCTGCTTTTTTATTTATGTTTTGAACACTTCCCTAAACTTCTTGTCTCTTAAAATTTCTTTGAAAAGCACCACTTTAGCAGTCCCACGCCCTGATCTTGGACACTTAGGTTATTCTCATCATTCGCTCCTACACATAGTCCCTTGGTCATTCCTGTGAGCAAATCTTTGGCCGCACTTTGTACCTAGGTTGCTAGAAATGGAATTACACAGTCAGGGAAAAGAGCACTAAAGAGATCTCCACAGAAATGAGACGTCAATTGGAGACGACAGACATAAGCAAGAACAAAGAAAAGAATCGTAATTTGCCCACCGGACAGCTTGCCGCCGCCACCCTCCGTGCAAACATCGGCACCAGGCCTGCATGGCCAGTGCCTGCCGGCAGCAGGGGAGAAGGCCCATCTCCACACTCCGCACACCCAGTCAGGCTTCCACCCCAAACCCCACCTGCTCTTTGCCTTCAGAGCCCAGGGAAGCCCCAGGGAGCCACCCCTTTACTGGGTCCTCTGGACTCTGCCCTCCAGAGCCAAAGGCCTCAGGCAGAAGATGCATGTGCTGGGATGTGACCACTCCAGAGACATACAGAGGGACTTGAAGGCCTCCCCACTGAAGGTTTCCCTACCCAAATAGTGTCACTGGCACCAGCTGGAGAGGGAAGGGGAAGACCTATGGAGGGGCCTGGAGTTCAGGGAGTGAGGTGGAGAGAAAGGGTAAGTAAGTACAGCCCACCCCCGGAGGCTCAGGTGGTGCGGTTGGCGCGAGACTTATAGCGTGGGCAGGCCGGTTCCAGCAGGATGCAGTGCGGCATGCTGAGAAGGGCTGGGGTGGCACTCGAGCCATGGGGCCCACCGACTCAGGCTGTGCCCGGCTGCCCTTCACAAGTTTGCTCCTTCCTTACCACACTCCCCACACCTCCCACCCCCACCTTTATCTCAGGGACTAGTGCAAGTCTCCCTCTGACGGCAGCTCCCTTGTCTGGTGGCTTTACTTTATCACACTTTTCTTTTTCTTTTTTTTTTTTAATCTCAGTATACCTATTGCTTGTCCTTTTCTGTCCCAACTGCCAGCGCACTCCCTGAGGCCTGGGGTGACCGCACAGACTTGACTCTCCATGGAATGCAAGGTCACTGGTATCAGTAAATTCAAGAAGCATAGAGCTTAAGACAATGTTTGAAAAACAGACTTGATTCTGCTTAGATTTGTGGTGCTAGTGCCAAGTGTGTGTGTATTCTGAGCTTTCTTTACTTAATGTTTTATCTTTAATTCAGCCACAAAAAGGCTTATGAAGCACCTCCTCTTCTCTAGGTTTGCTAGGGCTGAACCTTTGCCAAAAGTTGTGTGCTCCACAGTCCCCGTGGGGCTGGCCCCAGGCAGCATCTCTGAAGGGACCCAGCACCTTCAGCCCTTTGTTCCTTTTGACACGGGGACCCTGGACTGCAGGGACCTCCGTAGCCAGCTTCTTCCTGGCTGCAGAGTAGACAGAGGAAACGGTGCTGGCCCAATTCAGGTTGTGTCGTGCCCCAGGACATTCACAGCATTGATGTGTTCATGGATCTGAGAAGTAGTAGCAATGAATGAATTGACATAGGAAAATGTGAATTATCCTAACATAGGTGACAAGACCTCACAGCATTTGGGTCTAGTGGGAACATCTGTAGTCCATGTATTTTCTGGGAGAGCACCCCAGGTGGCAAGGCAGGAACAAAGCCCCCATTTCTCTTGCCGCCTGCAGAGTGGAAGGAGGGGTGGGATGCGGCCTTCTCCAGGGGGAAGCCTGGGGCAGGAGTAACCCAGGTGTGGGGGCTCCCTTTGGACAGGGGCTTCCCAGGTCTGTCTCCCAGATGTGTTTCCAAATAGGGATCCTCATGCTTGGTACTCCAAATCTGTGCTTGATCTAGCTTTAAGGAGCTGGAGACGGAAGGAAGGAAAGCTGGTACTATTGAGTTCTACCCACTGATGTGGGGTTTTTGCTCCTGAAGAGCAGGCCAGCGGGTCTGGCTGTTGGTTACCTGCATACCTCTCCCAGGTACTCACCATGGGGTCTGGGGAGGGAATGTGTTTTCTAGGCCCCTCTGTACTTCTCTTTTTCTCGGGTACTAACTGATCTTGCAACGTGCCGCAACCCACTAGAACGTTCAGAGGCAGCTGAAAAATTATGTAGATCTGTATGCATTTTTTAAAGCACAGGAAGGACAGACACCACTGTATTAACAGCAGTTATCTTGGGCAGACATCTGGGGGAGGAGTGGCTTTACGTGAAGCACACATTACTTTATATGGAGCCAGCGGGTTTTCTTTTTACTTGCACGTGTTTTGGAAAACGTAACCAAAGCCCTAGAGTTTTACCTGTCTTATGAGAAAGAGGACTCGGTGACGGGAGTGTTGCTGAGCAGCGGGCACGGAACGAGCAGCAGCCCTTGATGCTGTGACTTCGCTCAGCACTGTGTGTCCTTTCCCTCCCCGACAGATGAGCTATCCGTGGGACTAGGCCGGCTGAAGGACATAGCCCTGGGGATGCAGATGGAAATCGAGGAGCAAGATGACATTCTTGACCGCCTCACAACCAAAGTGGACAAGTTAGATGTCAATATAAAAAGCACAGAAAGAAAAGTTAGGCAACTTTAAACACAGAGAAGGCTCTCCACTCCGTTGTGATGAAAAGAGCCCAAAGATCTTTTAAACTCCCCCAAAGTTGGTTTATATTGTTTTAGTGTGTAACATAATATGTTTGCAAATGTTACCATTATAGAGCGGGTCTCAGGAGATGTCGTTATGAGAAGTGTGTGTCCCACTTTTTTTTAGAGCCTTCGCCTCTCCATTCTCTGAACTGAATGCTTAGAGTTTTAGTCTGAGCACAGTAGCCTGGTCCTGAGTATCTTGGGCCTTTGATAGAGCATGCCGGCATGAGAGGAACAGTTGAGTTTCTCATTTTCACGAGCATATGGAAGGAGGTGGGCAGAATTTCAATCCTGGGACCACCAATCTCTCTGTTGGGGGGGGTGGTCCTTCCCATACCTTGGCCTACCAACACAGCACATTTGCAATTCTCTCAAACCCCAGAAAAGGATCAGTGTTAGGTTCACACTGTGATTCTCTCAACACCCTGGAAAAAGATTAGTGTTCAGAAATGGAAAGTATCAGCATTTGCTGTTGGGTTGACAGATGTCACCTCTTCCCTCCTGACCTCCATCCTTAGCATGCATTTTAGTAGGAGGGGTTCAGATCAGCACCGCTCACCGTGATGCCTGGAAATGCGCAGGGAATTGGGTGAGCCCTGCTTCCCCATGCAGTCACACCTCTAAGTCGCTGTCCAAGGTTAGGGATAGATGTGCCACTATCTCAAGCCTGCCCAGCTGGCCGACTGGGGGGGCCCCTCTACGGTTTGTGGGAATGGAGCATCATACAGACAGTGCCTCCACTGTGTGCTCCTCCCCTTTGGGGAGCACCTTGACCCAGCCTCGGGGGTGGTGGCAGTGTTTGTTCAATGCCTGGGGTCTCCTGACCCATCTAGAATTCCCACCCATTCTTCTTGACCTCTTGCAAGATGACTTGACTCATCTCTTGGTTCTCTCCCACCCCAGTTGGAGGATTGAAAGGCCAGAAATGATGCTGACTTGTTGGCTTTAAAAAAAAAAAAGCCCAGACATTATCATTTTAACTGGCCCAGCTTGTTCTACACAAAGACATTAATCTCCTTACAGAAATCAATTTTAATGAATGCTTTTAAGTGATTCTTTCTTTGTAAAGTGACATTCATTAAAATTGATTTCTATAACGAGATTAATGTCTTTGTGTTGGTACCTCCAGCAGAATAATTGAAGCCACAAGACCCTTGTCTTTGTAAAAAGCAGATTAATTACAATATTTTGAAGACGGTGAAAGAGGCTGATTTTAATAAGGTTAGGTCAGAAAATTTAAAACAACAGTGTGTTTCACCTTGACACATGGTGCTGTCTATGTGACCTTCACCACTTGGGTTCTGTAATCTATAAACAAAGTCCCTTAAAGGAAAGGAACTCTGAAATGCTGCAACAATGCATCAGTATTTATGTAGCAGTTCATTTGTAAAAGTTCTAGTCCGTGATGCATGACATTCCTCAAAACTGACAGCTTCCATCGGCAAGTACAACTTTCTGTCACGTTCCAGCCTCGTGGAGTCTGATGGACGTCATTGTGAATATCCCAGTACGTGAGGACACAGTTAGAGGTAGTCAGGTTAGGTGTTTATAAGATGAGCTCATCATGATTATTCTCTTAACTAACTGGTAAAAGGAAGAATTTTAAACCTATACCTAGCTCAAACAAAATGAGTTCAGAGGGCTTTCAGCAAAAAGGCTGCTGACAAGCATGAAGCCAGAACGCAGAGTAGCCCATGTGTATACGTTTCCACTCCGGATTGTTTCTGACTTTTTCCTAACACCTTCCATGTATGTCATGATAGCTGCTTTTGTTCATCATCAGGCAGAGGCTCATGGAGATTAGTCATTATACCTCAGATGCAAATTTATTTTTTTCAAACAAATTATACATGTAAAGGCCACCGCCATTCTCTTCGCATAATGAGATTAGTGATTTCACTGACTTGAAGCAAAGTGGCATGGGATATTTGTACCCTTCCCTGTCTTTTGTGAGATCATTGAAGCCAGTTGCCCCTCCTTTTTTTACCCCCAAGCATATAGAAGGAAAGCACAGCCTCTTCTAGAAATGTGTCTTCTGACACTTTACATGTACATATGTTCTATTCACTCTTGTTTAGACCCTCTTTCACGAAGGCCCTGACTGAGGAACTGTCTCCAAGCTACATGCTGGCCAGCAGCTTCTTTCTATTGGGCTCCCCCTCTGCCCGCATGCCCATGAAGGACCAGTTGTCGATTCTACTTTATAAAGCAAAGTTGTTTGCATTTTCAGAGACCAAAGGGAAACCTGGAGCCTCCAGAATCCTTGCACATGATGATTATGATCAAAACGAACACATTCTATCCTCTAGACTAGACACATCTATCTCATGGAGATGCTCAGAGGTGCCCAGGCCCGAGTTGGGTGTGGGTGGGCTTTGATACCATGGACAAGACCAGTGAACTCGCCCCTTCTTGCCAGATGGGGTCTATAAGACACGTTTTTATTTCCACAGTCGAGCTAGGAACAAACTGTGCCTTCAAAAAAGTGGCTTTTCTAACTTTAGGGTGGTTAATATGTGAAGTGTGCTACTAACTTAAAAATAAGTGCATTCTCCTTCAGAGGAAACTATTTCTAACATCTCGTGATCTATAACCTAACCCCAGTGGAGTTGCCTTGTCTTTTTTGCATTCTTGTAGGAAAGGAGACCTGAATTTAATTCAGGTGGCAAGAAAAAAATTCGTAAGTGCATTTTAATTTTTTTTCTGACCTTTGTTTGTGAATATGTCATTTTAAGAGTACACTACACCGATTTAGTAAAAAAAAAAAAAAAACCTCTTACACTTTGTCTACATAGGCCTTTTCTCAGAATTTGTAAGTTATCACTGTTGTTAGCATCTTCAGGTCTGATAATTAAATGTCTTGTGTACACAATGATGAGCCAGTCATTAAAAGTGCTCGGGGGTGGAGGGGAGGCATTTTGTTCAGAGTCTGTATCAGAACAGCTTTTAAGCTCCATGCCTTCAACTCAACAAGTGACCATATTATGTAAAATAAAATGTGAAGTTTTTTAAATCAGATTCTGTCTCCCACGTAGTCATTTTCAAAGAGCGGGTAGAGGGGCTCCTCCATGTTGAGCCTTCATATATTTGGTCCTTGCTGCCCCATCAAGCCCTATAAACAAGCTTTCTTCCTGAGAAACCCTCTCATTTCATCTTTCAGAGTGCTATTCTGATCTGCCTCCTACCTCCCCGGCTGCAGCACTGTCTAGATAAGGGCTTGGCAAACGGTAAAGGGCCAGAGAGTCAATGTTTTAGGCTCGTCAGTTAGTCAGTCTGTCACAACTACTCAGCTCCTCCATCGTAGAGCAAAAGCAGCCAAAGACAATATATGAATGAGAGTGTGTTCCAATAAAGCTTTATTTATGGACACTAAAATTTAAATTTTATATATTTTCATGTCACAAAATCTGATTTTGATATTTTTTCAATCACTTAAAAATGTAAAAACCACTTAGTTCGTGAGAGGTACAAAATATGGTGGACTGCACTTGACCCATGGGCCCTAATAGTTGGCCATTCCATTTAGAGTGCCACAAGGTACTCCTAGGAGTGGGAGGATGAAGGATGGCTGGCCACTATATTCTGCAAGTGGATCCCATCAGGGCTTGTGGCCCCTCTAAACACCGTAGTTCACCAAGAAAGGAGAGCAGGCCAGCCTAGCCTTGGCTCCACTCTCTTGCCTCCACATTCACATCTGACCACAGGCGTAGGAATTGCTTCTAGATCTGAAAGCTCTGAGAAGGCACCTGGAGCCTGGACTAAGCCATCTTGAAAATCATATCTGTCAGTGCACTGGCTGCCTGGATCCCAAAGGCCACTCTGGCTTAATGGATATCACCTCTGGGCATCATTATGGATAAGGAATGCTCAGGATCTGAACATAGCAGTAGACTTTTCTGGGAAGATGAGGGTGAGATGTTACATAGAAGTGAAAGCATAAAAATCAAGGTGGCTGTCATTTGGGAGCTGCAGGTAAAGGAACGGCTAAGGTTTGGGTTGTGTGTGGGCAAGACATGAGGGAGGTAGGCAGGTCCCAGATGAAAGGCCTTATGGGCCATATCAAGGAGTCAGAGAACACTGACCTTCCATGACAGGGAGGCACTGACAGAATCTAAGCAAGAGAGTGACATGACCAGATTTGCATTTTGAAAGGACCATAAAGATGAATCACAGCATTATCTGTAAGAGCAAAAAGACCTGGAAACGACCTCATTAAGGAAATGATAGAAGAAATTGTGACTCACCCCCAGCTACGGTAGACAGTTGCAGTTATGGAAAGTTTCCAGAGCATATAGGATGATGCTTGCAAGATTTACATTATGGGGAAAGAATGGACATAAAATTGATTATGCACTATGGTCCCAATTTTGTGGGAAAAGCAAACCAGTATGTATATTTCAAGGGGGGAGATCACCCTTAGGTCAGTGAGGAGAACAAGCTGGAAACAGGCTAAAGAGAACTCTGTAATGGTTCAGGTTCAGAAGAAGGGACCCACACTAGAGCATGACAGGGAGCAAGGAGGGGGGTGGGCCCCAGTGAGCCTTAGGCAGGGCAGGCTTTAGTGATGGATTTGCCAGTGAGGGAGGCACTGAAGATAACACTCAGATTTCTGACCACAGGAACTAGTAGCAGACAGTTTTAAGGAATACAAAAACACAAACAAGTCTGGGGTTATGGGCAGAGGAAAATGAATTTGAAGAGCTTTGGGACATCCAGACAGATTGTAGGTGCTGGGCCAGTGGTTGTGCACAAAACAGGCCAAAACCCCTATTCTCAGGGAACTCACATTCTCATGGGAGAGAAGGTAATACACAAGTAAGAAAACAATTAGTATGCTAGAATTCACCATGCAGGACTGGGGCTTGGGAGAGAGGTGCAAAGGACCTGGGAGTTATCAGATTATAGGTCGTGATTAAAGCTGAGCAGGTCGAGAGTGCCCAAGGAGAGTGAGAGGAAGCTATGACTGAGTCCTGGAAATAGACACTAGAGGCCAGACGCCTCGAGATGTTGATCTTTCCACTTGAAATTCTCCTGGAAGAATGACCCAAAGCCTAGGCAGGAGTCGACTCAAAAGTAGGCTCAAAGCAGGGAGTGAAG